AACTCCTCGTACGGACCGATGTGATCAATTAATTTGAAGCTCGAAGAAATGACAGTAAAATTGCTCCTCAATTAATTAACCATCTGCACAATGCTCAGCATGTGAGTGTTTCAAGACATACCATCTATAGAAGGTTGAGAGAAGGTAATCTAGTGAGCAGAAGTCCTTGGAGATGCCAACCTCTAACCCGGGGAATCGCGTAACCCGGCTAGCGTGGGCCCAAGAACATGTCATTTGGGACCAAAATCAATGGGGTAATGTCTTATTTTCCGACAAATCGCGATTTGGTTTGTATCCAGATTCTCGAAGGGTACGTGTTTGGAGAGCACCTGGCACAAGATCTCGAATCCAACATACCCAGGAGTTCACAGTTACAGAGGAGGCAGAATAATGGTGTGCCCAGGAATGTGTCTTCATGGTAGAACTGAGCTCGTTTTGCTGGACAGCTTCTTATCGGCCAACGATTATGTTAGGAATGTTCCAGAACCGGTTGTTCTTCCAAACAAAGATACCGTCGGTCCAGATTTTATATTGATGTATGATAATGCTACTCCACATACAGCAAGAGTGACAAGAAATTTCCTGGAAGACCGACATATTTACATTTTAGACTGAAGAGTTCTTAGGGACTATAATCAATTTCAGAACCAAAACCAGTTGCTCTTCAACAGTACTGGCTGCAATTCCACAAGAAGGTTTGGACAACTTGATACTGAGTATGGATAGGCGTTGTAGAGCGACCATAAATGCACGAGGAGGCCACACTCCATATTAAACTCTTCTTTGTTTTTTTTTCTAATACTTTGAAAATTTTTATACATTTTGAATGATTAGTTATTGGCAACCACCAACTCCTCTCGAAGTGCTTCTAGAGTCTGAGGAGGACGTTGTAAACTGAGCAATCTCCTACCCATCATATCCCACACGTGCTCAATTGGGGATAAGTCGGAAGATCTTGGTGGCCATGGTAACAATGTGACATCATTATGTTGAAAGAAGTCTATTGTGACTCTTGCAACATGTGGTCGGGCATTATCTTGTTGGAAAGTTGGATCTGCCAGGGTGTCAAGATCATGTTACCTCTGATGAAGATTAAAGGTGACCTGGAACCATAAGCTATAGCACCCCAAACCATAACTCCAACAGTGTGATGAACATGTGTTTCAACAAAAAACTGTGGATTCCTCCTTTCACCACGTCGCCTTCTAACCCTGGCACGACCATCGTGCATGCCTAAACAAAATCGAGACTCGTCACTAAAGACAATACTGTTCCATTCCTGATCCCAGAGTGACCGTTGTCTGCACCACTCAAGGCGATTACGTCGGTGTTCTCGAGTTAAAGGGAGGACCCAGTGTGGCCGGTATGAAAACAAGCCAAAACTTCTCATTCGTCGGTAAACACTTCGCATGCCAATAGGTCTTCCGTGTTCTGCCAACCATTCATTTGCAATGGACCTGGTAGTGGAGAAACGGTCCCTTAAGGCCAATAATCTTAGGCGGCGCTCTTCACGGTCTGTTGTTCTACGGCGGCGTCCAGTGCCCCTTGCTCTTTGCGTACGGCCTTCTCGAAGCCATGCCTGACAACACCTAACCACAGTGTCTACACTTCTTTGCACTCTAACTGCAATTGCCCGAAAAGAAAGTCCAGCTTCCCGAAGTCCCACTATACGGCCCCTATCAAACTCACTAAGTTGACGAAATCGTACAGGTCTCCGTACTCTAGGCATCGTAACCGATCGTAAAGGATGTCAAGAACCAAAATCCGCCAACGTTGATTCTTTACTGCGGCTGAAATACTCATTTTTAGAGCGTTAGTGAATTAAAAAAAAGCAGTATAATTATGAGACTGGTCAACATTATTAAATCATTTCTTTTTAATTTTTGTATATTTCTAATAAATGTATTCCATGTTATAAGAAATAAATAAGAATAAAGATATTATTAGTAATCATCCAATTTTATATATGTAAATATATATTCCAAATACGTAATTCCTAATTATTATTCTTTAGCCTTCCAAATCCGTGTGGGTCACATTAAACTCAATGTGTACGGACATATGCCAGGGCTTACTGTATGTTATCACCCAAATACCCTGTCTATATCTGGAACTGATATACATCCTAACAGCATAGTGTACGGAGGCAGATAGTCGGGAACCTCATGCATGACAGACCGCAAACATGCCTCGTGTTGCAACCTAGGGTGTCGAAAAAATTAATTGTCGGTTCCACGCACCCGTAGGGTAGTCGGGCGCGCCATTTTGACATTACGGCTCCGGCGGAAGGGAGTGGGGACGGGGGTGGAACAAGGGAAATTGGAAGAGGAAGAGATACTTCCCGATACTAATTGAAACTCCGTGCCATGCCAGAGATGGTGCGTCATAAAAGTTATTACAGGATGTATACTTTATGATCCGATGAGCTGATAGAAAAGTTATGTCAAGTGGCTCTACTCGGTGGATTATAAGCATCGATAGAAAGGACGATTTACCGATGATGCAGTGGTCAATTATGGTAAAAACAAACGGTTATTTACAACGAAGAATTTCTGACAGAACCGAACTGTCATCCACAATGGAACAGGTCAGTTCAGCGCATAACTAGGCAACGTCGCATCCACAATCTGTTTGAGTAGCTATATTTGACGGTTTCTGATAGTGAGACATTCCTTATTAAAAGCAGTTGACAATGATGAAGCGCCTCAAGTTCTCTTGAATGCAGTAAAAGTACGTCGTATAAGACTGAATGTGCAAATAGTATGAACTTAAAAAAAACCTATTTAAAAAACACGAATAAGAAGAATGTGTTATTCCTTTGATGATTTTTGAAAAAACGCTTTGTTGCGAAAATTTAGTGCGTGACATTTTTAAAAAAAAATCAATTTTGGTATTTTTGAAATTATTAACGTAAAAACATACGTAATAAAAAGGGCTGGTCTTATCAAGTAAAAACATGTAATCAATAGTACCTGTTACGAAGCAACGTTCCGTGATTCCTTTATTTTGTGTGCCGAGTTTGTTAATATTGATTGACGTGTGGCTACTGGCCTGTAATTTCTGCCCTCAATACGGTTGTTTGGGCCTCTGTCATAGTTCACTATACGAATGTCCAGATGGCTGACATGCATTTTATTTTTGGAATTGCTGATGGCAATTGATGACATGCTAGGCGACTGTACATTGAACGATTCCCTAACTGTATTGTTCCCGATAGAAAAATCTTTCAAAGATATCATCAGCGTCTTTGAGAAACATGAACATTGAAGCAAAGTGTAGGACCAGGAAGATGATCCAGGTACTTCTACTCAAATAATTGTAAACGCTTTGGATGCAAGTAACTAGACTTTTTGTAAAATTCTTAGATACAATTTGTTGTACCCATACTCGTATCACAGCTAACGCGCTCTGGCATTTTTTCCTGCGGATTTCGCTGCACGTGTTGCATTTTGTCAATGATTTTTGAACAAATTGATTGTCATGCCTCAACTACTCAGTACCGAGGGACTCAGTCTCTCGCGAAATGCACTACGGAATTTGCACAATAATCATGTTGTGCGACCGATTTTATCACCAGTTCTAGTTGAACGCTTGGGCTGTAATTGTGGATTACTGTCTAATTGGATGGTTATTTCTACCAGCAAAACTTGCAGTCCAAGTATACCGCAACCTTTTGGAATAAACGCTACCTTATTTCATTGAGACAAGCAATGTAGTTTATGCACGATGGCGCACCAACTCATTGTAGTCTAGTTGCTCGACAGCAACATGCAAAGATCGCTGTTTAACAGCAAAATACGAAGATCACTGGATTGGTCGACATGGACCTCACTTAAGACTTGACTTTCAAAATACCTCATCCTGACTTCTTATTTTTGGTAAATTGCTCTGTAAATGGTGCTAAACTGTTGGACAATAAACGCGTATTATTATTTTCACTATTATTTTTATTATTATTATTAAAAAAACAAATTAAAGAACAAAATTGCTGCACAAGAGTGTGTCCTTTTTGGGTTTATAAGCGTTGTATAAAAGTTGTTAGAACGTTTATAGCACCATTGTTGTTTCATGAAAATAGCTCTATAAACAGTGTCAGAACCTTTATAAAACATAAAATTGTTAGTTGGGGAGTTAATATTCTGGTTGTAGTCCAGGGTTGGTGAATTTTTGTCACTCATTTGAAAGTCCATTATCGAAATAACAAACAACGTGTCAACCGACGTAATTCGTTTACATAAATCATATCTCGCCTTGAATCAATCCCAACCGCACCGAAAACACTCAGGCCTCTCTGGAGTATCCTGATTCCGTTTCGGTCCCATCCAACGAATTCAGACTAGGTAGAGGGAGCCAGTGAAGGATTTGCTTATCTCCTAATTCTCATAGTATGTAGTGATGTTCAAAGTGTACTTGACATAAGCTAATTTTTTCAACACATTGTACTTTTTACGTTATTTGCAAAGATCGGCTCAAACCTATTGAAGGTAGATGTTTCCACCGGTAGGTATTATTATAGTCATGTTAATAAAGCGCTGTCACTTTGGTAGACATTGGTAGACAAATGAATCAAAAGTAAGCACTTAAACTACACAAATTCGACGAAAAGCAATGCAATGTTTGGCTCCGTCTAACCTATTCGAATTCGTTGGTCCCATCCATCTCAACTTTTCAAGCGCTCCGTTACTAGGCGCCGAGTTGTAGCGCTCTGCTCACGGAACTTCCGGATTCCCCGCATTTGTGTCAGTTCGCTGACCCAAATTACGTGAAGTTGCTTCGGTATCGCTTGCACTACTCAGAGTTCAACTCACCGGTGCGCTCTAGAGAGCCACTAAATGCATGCTACTTAAGGTCCTTCTCTACCCTGAGACGAAATGCAGTCTAGCCAAGAAAAATCAGGTGAAGCAAATCTTATTTGAAATGATTACCGGATTCATTCACCGAATACTCAAACTCTAAGAACATGACAAGTAAAGGAAAAAAGTCGTATCCTTCGATGCGTGATGCTGGTACCACTAGCGATGCTGCTGTCGATCTCTCTGCTGGTGCTGCTGGTACCATTGTTGCTGATGTTGCTGGTACCAGTAGTACCACCAGCTGTACCTAAGGAAGCAGCAGCACGAGCGGTGTTGGTACTACCAACACCAGCAGCAAGACTAGCAGTATGAATCGAAGGATAGCACTTTTTCCCACGTTCAGCAAAACTTTCCCACGTTCAACCGGTCCAAGCTCTGCTATACTAGATTAGTCGTTTGAACTTAAAAGTATCTAAGTACGCATTTGACAGTCAAACCACCACTATAATCGCTAGATGCTGTCGATTCTGGTGATACAGTCTACTCGCCATTGAAAAACTAATACGGATGTGTTCGACCGTCCGATCACAGACAGCCAACCGTGTACAGTTGTTTCATGCTTTTTGGGATAATATGATAGCAGCGATGGAAATCTAGTAGCAATAGGCTATTTAGGTACTGAATCTTACTCTTTGGCACATGGCCACCTTTGTGGCTAGGGCTGTAAGTAACTTTTCGTTATGCATAAATTAACCTGTGTCGGGCACATTGTAGCGGCAACGGTAATGTAGCAAGGCTATGGCCGCTCTACCGGTCAACTTATTTCTATTTTAAATTTCACTTAAAGTATACTCCAAATTTGTATGCATCTCAGACATAATTAGCGTTCATGCTTGACGGGTTACTGTCCCTTAACGCCAGAGATATAAAAATGGCTGCAATAACATATGCAATCATTGATTAACGTACTTTACTCGAAGATATCAAACTTCGTAATGTATTCGCGCATCCAAAAAATTGTCCGATATGAAATGAGACACTTTAGCGTCACCTACGAGAATTTGTCACTGCTATGTTTATCCTCTCCGCAATAACTAGAAATCTACTTTGAAACTTCCAGAATTTGTCTGGATCAAATTCTTTGAATTTTTCTTAGTTCTTGATGAATAATGCTAGTACGATCCAGGGGTACACTCACACGTCCATCTAATTCTGATAATAATAGTAATAAAGTTTATTGTCAAAACTATAACAGCTAACTAGAAATGACATATTTTAGAACACAAACATGGTAGAAAACCCGCAGAAGGCACAAACGTGATTTTCTAAGAAAATAACAATAACAACATTAAATAGGATTTTAAAATACTTTATCTTACAAAGTAGGAGTATGGATGGCTTCATTAACTATAGATCCTTTTTAAGGTAAAATGTCTCATTTACGGCACAAAGTCTATCTTAGGTTATTAGTGTTTTTGTTTTCTGTTCTCTGTTTGGGGGATATATCGAGTATGTTGTCAGAATCGGTAAATAAGTATAGCAGGGGTATACTGTCTAAATCGGTAGTGTTGGGTATAGGGTATTTTGTCTAATTCGGTAACTTTATTCTAGTAATTGGTTTTCATGTTGAGTGTAATCTTTTTAAGTCAACGACTTCGTGAATTCTTTGTCTGGGCATAGATGTTATCCAGCCTTTTACTTTCCCTCTAAATGTGTGTTTGGAACGTATCATCTTCAGGTCTTGTAAGAATACGATCTGAGCATTAAATTTTTTTCTGGTTTTGGCACCTTTAAATAATTCCTGTTTCTTGTTTGGTAAGAATGTATCAGCTCTTGGTTGGGAGGACCGGATATGTGTTGCACTATAAAAATTTTTAGTAGGTCTAATTGCCGTATGTCTAATATACCAGTTTCTTTATGCTTAAAATATGTTCATTTTGAGAACATACAAATTAGAACTGTCCGTCTAGTTTTACGTTACTCCTAAGTATGTTTGTTATTATGCAAAATTTTAATAAAGCCAGTTCAATAGTGTCAACGATATGTGAGCGAATTGTCACAGCAAATCCAAAGGTCGAAAATGCGGTAATGGAAACAACCGTAGTTTGGTTGTGGGTAGTAGCCCAGATAGTGGTCTAGTGGTAGGGGTTGAAAAGAAAATATCTCTACACGTTTCTAGTCTGCATCCAAATACAAAAACAGGTGGCGTAGTATCTATGGTCAAATTTAATCTTCCGGAGGCGACTGTAGAAAAATTAAACTCTAAATACCCTGAGTTTTATTCATCCTTCAAAGCGACCATTTCTGAAAACAATTTTAAATCAGCTTTAGCTGACAAGTGGCCAAAAATGCCTGTATAAATTATTTTTTGCAGTAACGCCGCAATGTAGCCCCGGTGAGTTAGATATTGTGCAAACGCATGTAAGCAGACTGACAATGCATCTGTAAAATATTTCAATCCTTCTGTATTACTTTTAAACGTGCAAAGTATTAATAATAACAAAATCAATCAGCTGCTTCTTGACATCGGTGATTATAAGAATATGCCTGCGCTATGTCTAACTGAGACATGGGCCACAAAAGATTCAGCTGTAAGTAACAAAAATTGAGGGATTCCATGTATGTGACTGTTATTGCAGAAACCAGTTTAAAGGTGGTGGAGTAGCTACATATTTAAAAAGTCACATTGAGTACAAAATAATAAAAATATCAAAATTCTGTATTGAAAAGGAAATTGAAATGTGTGCTATTTCTTTTAATAATACTGTTTTAGTATTATGTTATCATCCACCTTGTGGTAATTTATTTGTTTTTTACGATCAGCTAAACAGTGCGTTGGACTCTTTATACGAAACAAATTTTAAAAGTATACTATGTGATGATTTTAATATTGATTTTTACCAACCAAATTTCGATTTTAAGCGTTTTATTGACACCGTGAGTGACTTTGATTTGTATCCAATAATAAAATGGTCAGCAAAAATTGCGAAATCATCATTAACAACCATTGACCAGATATTTCTAAATTTTCAGAACTATGGTGCAAACTGCGTCTTTGATAATACTGTATCTCACCATAGGACCGTACTCCTCGAACTGAATATTTTCTCCCCTCACAATGATTTAGGTTACGGAATATAATAACTTTATGTGCAATTTAATATCTGAGAGTTGGTGGGAAGTGTCTAATAACTCAAACTGTGTGGATACAGCGTTCACAACTTTTTTTGATATATCTTTACATCACTTTAACACGAATTTTCAACTTTTGACACGCTTTAAAAAATTGGATACAAAGAAATGGGTGAACAATGAAGTAGTAATATCAAGCAGGAAGCTGAAAAACTTATATGGCTTAACCAAAATATTCCAAGAAGCCAAATCGGAGTATCTTCGAGCAAAAAATTGCATCAGAATCTGGTGGCCTCGGCCAAAAGAACTCACTATCAAAACAAAATTTTCCAATCGGGAAACCTCAGTAAGGAGACTTGGACCGTAGTTTCTGAAATAACTCAAAAAGAAAAAAGAAACAACAATACCTCTTGAAAGTAGATGAACCTGTTATAACTGATCCACTGGATATAGCAAATCGTTTCAGTTCGTACTTCAAAAATATATCATTGCAGTTCATTAAAGCAACAGCATCTCAGTGCAACTTTGAAAAATCACATGATACAGCGAACGAAATGTTTCTATATCCGTTCAACGAAGACGAGTGTTTAAACCTGTTAAAAGATAAATTCAAGAGTAAGAATTCAGCTGGTCCAGATGAAATTCCTGGATTTCTCTTGAAACAGGCATTACACACTATTAGTAAACCCCTGGTTCATCTGATTAATTTGTCTTTTTGCCTCGGAAAATTTCCAGTTCTGAAGAACGGGAAGGTGGTACCAGTTTACAAAAGAGGAGATCCATCAGACATGGGAAATTTCAGGCCAATAACGGTACCGTTTGGCTTCTCAGAAATTTTTGAGTATTGCTACGCCCGTCGCTTGCTGACGTTTTTTAAGAAGAAAAATATCATCTCGCTGAACCTACACGGATTCTCTACTGGAAAGTCAACAACAACAGCAATCAATTCGTTCTATGAACGATTGATTTCATTCATTGAGGCCGGAGAGTGTCCGGTTGGGGTATTTTGCGACTTGAGTAGGGCTTTTGACTGTGACAACCATAACGTTCTGTTGCAAAAGCTCTCTGCATCGGGTGTGAATGGTGCTCCTTATAGGTGGCTCAACTCATACCTTGTTGATATGAATGTTGATTGAATATTTTTCTCTACTTCATAAAAATGAACAAATCGAGTCGAATCCAGTGAAGTCACTGTCGATATTGGGGTTCCTCAAGGTTCCATTTAGGGCCTATTTTGTTCATTCTATATATCAATGAGATTGAGTCAGTGTGTGAGGATGCGCTGTTCACACTATATGCTAATGATGCATCAATATTAGTCCCGAGCAAATAGGAAAATATCTTAAATGATAGATGCAACGAAGTAATTGCAAAGGTCAGTGATTGGTTTTCCAAACATGTTAAGATTCTGAGAATATTTCTGGACGATAAATTAAATTTCAGAGTACATTGCCATTACCTGGTTTCGCAAATTAACTCTATCTCTTATTTGTTTATAAATTTAAGCTTGGTTCTCTATGAAAGTCAGCTGGTCGAACTATACCGGCCTTGTGGAATCCAGACTCAGATACGGTATTTGTCTTTGGGGCTGCTCTGCTACTGCACAACGTGTTTTTATTGCTCGAAAGCGAACTGTTAGATCAATGGCTCGGCTAAGTAACATACACAGTTGTAAAGATATTTTAAAAAAATATAAAATCTTAACAGTATCTGCCCTGGCGATTCAAGAGTTGGTGTTATATATGTATTCCGGAATAAGACCAAGTTTACTCTCAACAAAGAAATAGACACACTTGCCACAAGGCAGAGTAATAATATACACTCCGATTTTTCTAAATTTAAAGTAGCAAATAAATCGCCAAATATACTTGGTCCTGAAATCTTTAACATCCTCCCGAAGGATATACAAGGAATAGTAAATCAAAATCACTTTAAGTATTGTTTGAAAGGATTTTTAATACGTAAATGTTTGTATAATGTCTGTGAGTTTATCAGTGTGTAAATGTTGTTTATTATTTTGTTTTAATATAGTTTTGTCATAGCTCTGTATATAGATGCTCTCTTGACGATCTCTATACAAACTTTGTTTGTCTCAAGAAAAAATAAATTATTATATATTATTATATATTATATTAAAGATTTGGCATGAGTATCCGAAATCACTGAATTTAGAACTTTTTTATTTTTAAATATAAAAATGGTCTTGGATTATACTACCTACAACTTTAACTCGT